ACCCCTAGAATCCGCAACTCGTCTCTCTGGGGAATAACCCCTGGACCCATGGTCAACACAACCTCCAGCCATCTCTTCTTCGGTGAAATATCCATTAACCCGCTCTTCTGTATCGAAAATGTAAGACTCCATGTGGACGCCCAGTTGTCAAGTACATCAAGCGCTGTCTGCACGTACTGTACCGCACGTGCCTGATTCGCACTGGCAGCGATAAGAAATATGTCATCGGCATACACGACCATCTTAATCGTGGGCGGCATTATTTTCCACAAGTCCGCTAGGTAGCAAGTAAATAACATTGGAGCCAAGACACTCCCCTGCGGGACTCCCTGCACAAAACTGTGGCAGTCTGACAACACTCCTCTCCATCTCACCCGAAACACTCTTTGGATGAGGAAAGACTCTAGCCACCTGAGAGCCTTACCACGTATCCCCAGCCTCGCCATCTTGTTCAGAAGCCCGTATTGGCACACGGAATCATATGCCCCCTCCAAGTCTAGGGTACTATGTACATCCACTTGTTTTGGCCACGGGCTATTGCTATTTCGTGATGTATTGCAACGAGGGCTTCCTCAACTCCTCTATATGGGAGGAACCCAAAGTGATCGACCGTTATCCGATTTTCTCTCGCTAACATTTGCTGAATTCGCTGTAGGACCATACGTTCAAAGGTCTTTGCTATATGGGAGATGAGCGAAATGGGCCTTTAAGATGTCACCTGGGTGGCTGGTCTACCTGATTTGCGATGGGTACAATTGTTGCCCATCGCTGACATGCGATGGGCACAATTGTTGCGATTTTCCAGTCTGATGGGATCTCCCCTGTCTCCCATATCGCATTAAAAGTGTCCAGGAGGTCCCGCAGCCCTTCCTTTGGCAGAGCTCTTAGTTCCTGGGCCCCTATATGGTCCGGACCCGGCGCCGTGGATTTCATCTTCTGGATTGCAAGACGGATATCGTGCAGCGTAAACTGTTTGTCCTCCCCTCCCTCGCTTGACCGTCCTAGATCCCATTGGGGCGCAAAATACTCTGCAGCCTGGGGCGACCAAAATAAGCTGCCAACGCCTCCGCCTGTTCATAAGGTGCGACCAGCACCTCTGGGTTGGTAAGAATCCTATAATCGTCAGCGTTATCTGGGGGGCTCTGAGCCGTCTGAAGATCTGATAAATGGCAGATTTTTCCAGTGGCCGCCCACATGCCCGTTACCATCACTCTCGTCTTGACCACCGTACCGTCCTTCAGAGCTCCCCACTGAGCCGCTTATACTGGGCCCACCAGCTCTGTGATACCATTTTTCTGGCCAGCCGGAGCGCCCTCTGCTTCTTTGCCCGCATCTGCCTGCACTCCATAGTCCATTACGGCGGAACGCCCGGAGGCAAGGCCTGGGAAACCTCCGTTGTAGCCGCCACTGCCTGCCGAATCCTTCCGAGCAGTCCCTGATAGGAGCTCGGGCCGAGGTTGCTGCTCTGCCGCATCCGCTCTGTGTATGAACCCCAGTCTGCGTGTTTCCGGGTCTGGTATCCTGCTCCTTTCGTGAGGCCCCTTTCATTTGTACGGTCAGAACTATCGGAAGATGGTCACTCGTAAGGTTGTCTCCACTCAGCTCCCACATGATGTCTCCCAGCAGGTCTGTTGAGCTCATGGTGACGTCGATGGCTGTTCCTCTGCCAGCGCTGACACAGGTGGGATCCCCCGAGTTTAAACACCCTATCTTGGCCGTCGTCATCCATTCAAATAGGATCCTTCCAGCTCTGTCTGGCCTTCTACACCCCTCATCCCAGTGAGGATGGTGGGCATTCCAATCTCCCCCTATCAGTCGTGACCGATGGTCTCTCTGGATGGCTTCTTCGAGAGCCACCTTCGTAAGCTGCCCATGCGGGGCATACAGATTTACAACAGACAAAGGCCTGTCCGCCACAAAAACCAAAGTTTCCTGGTACTCCAGCCCGCTGTCCGCCACCCTGTTCCATATGTGCCTGGCTGACCACCGTTTCACTACCACCATGAGCAGACCCCCAGTCCTACCGGACGGTCCGACCGAAAGACCGTAAACCCCGGCAACCCAAAACCGACCCCTGGCCCCAGCCATGTTTCCTGAATCAGGATAACGTCCACTGTATTGAACCATTCCGCCGTAAGGATCAATTCCCGTTTTGCCCTGACCCCCCCTGCGTTCCATTGAACTATCCGAATCGTTCCCTTCCCCTGAGCCCTATTATCCATTGTTGGGTTTACCGATCGATTGGCGCCTTCGCAGTTTTACCAGTTCCGCTGGTGTCATCGGAGGGATGTCTTCCATCGACTGTGTCTGCATTGTCCCCAGACCATGCCATGCCTCCTCCCCTGATTGAGCCTCGTCGGTATCTGAGTACACTGGGATCCTTCTCTGCTGGGGCGTAGGCCCTTTCTTCTTCTTGCTCAATTGCTGGTCGTCTCCTTCCACTGCTTTCTGAGGCGGGCGCTTCCTTGGACCTACCATCCCCTCTGACCCCTCACTCACCCTGTCCCTTGCCCGTCCCCCTGACGTCATTTGTTGTACCCGGTCATCTGTCCCAACCGCTGATTTAACGCCCTTAATTCCTCCCGCAGGGCCTGCACTGCCACTTCTAGGACTGTGAGCCTGCTGTTCTTTCCTCGCTGTAGCTCCATTATCTTCTTGCCCTCCTTCCTGCTCCCGTCCACTTCTCTGGAATCCTGGTTGACCTGCCCGGTGTACCTGGGGCATAGCGTCTGCCACTTTTTGAGCGTAAGTTTGGGGGCTCCCCCGTTGGGTCTGTTTGACCTCTGCGTATGAACACCAATTCTGCACACACAGTTTCAACATTTGTGCTTCCTGCCGATATAGTGGACACTTTGTCGACTTACTGCTGTGGTCCCCATGACAACGGATACATCTGTCCCCTGTTTGTGTACAAATATCCGGGTCATGGTCCTCCCCACACTGCGGACACCGACGTCTCCCCCGACAAAACCGCGCCGAGTGCCCAAAAGAGAGGCAACGGTCACATTGCCTCTGCCGCGGGATGTATCTTTCGCAAGGAAACCATTGGTAATACAGTTTGACCGATGTAATCAGTAAACCGCACTCGCTACCAAGAAGATAACCGTCTGGCTTGGCTGGCGGACGTCACCATCCTTTCGCGTGAACCTGCGGACCTCAATAACCAGATGCCCGGCCTCCCGTAAGGCCTCCAGAATTTCCGCGACCGTGATCGTAGTATCCATGCCACGAAGGAGGTAATCCGTCTGTGCACTATCCGGAGCCAAACGCCCCGAACAGGGGACCCTGCCAAGTCCGTTATTTTTAGTGCTCCCTCAATTGCCTCCCAGTCTCTTGACTTCACTATCAAGAACCCGCTCCTTGCGTACCGAACATCCGACAGAACCTCCGGTCTTGGAAAGTGTGGTTGCAGTGTCCGGTACACTTCCGCCGGCCGGAGCTGCCTAAGCGGAGAAACCCCCTCCAAGAACACCGCGTATACGTGTTCCTTCGGTAACTTGGCCCGAATATTCTGGAATTTATCCAGCTCGGTTAACCCGGAATAAACCCGGAAGGGAACCGTATCCCCGCATTGTCCCGACCCTGCCGGGACCAATACTTCCCCCGGTAGTTCGACTACCTTCACCTTTGCCGCGTATGCAACAAAAACCTCCTACCTGTGTTGTCGACCCACAATCCAGGGATACTTCCAGACTGTTCTACACTCCACTCACACTTCGCTCTCTCTTCTCTACTAACGCACTTCCACTCACAGACTCTCACAAAGAATACTCTTGCCACCTGGAAATCCAGATCAATGCTGGTCAGAACATTTCCATAAAATCATCAGATGTGAATCCCATGGATATTTTTTGGTTTGGCTTTCTGAAGATCTTTCTGCAGGAGGACAGCAACACTAAGTAAGGCTTTAAATGAAGAGAGGGAAGAAATAACCTGTGAAAAAGTGATTGAAGTCTATCCTGCATACAAATTAGAATTAAGAACTGTTAGTACAAGGAATGGAAAACATATTAAATATAAAAAAGCTAGCCAAAAGAACCAAAGAACTTAAAATTTAACGATTTAAAGTAAAATTAAAACTGGATAAAATAGCATGCTTTACCCTCTGTAGTTAATGGTACCATTCTAAGTTTTACTTCATTCTGTCCCACCCCAAAAGTAAAATTAAATGATTTTTTTAGTTAATATCTAAACATTCTGTGTATATTGTTTTAGATTTTGATTGTAAATTTTAGTTTAATTTAGTATTTATATTTGATTGTAAACTATAGTTTTCTATGGAGGAAGGATATGGTTTGATATGCAAGGATAGGCATATGCCTGTCTGAAAATCTACTATTACCATTATGAAAATCACTGAAAATTGAAAATAAAGGAAAAACTGTGTCCTTTCTTGTTTCAATGAAGGACACAATAATATGGTATAAAAGAAAATACATTGGAAGAGGGGACAGTTTGTCAGTACAAAAATATTGGGGGGGCACATTCCTCTGTCTCTTATGTATCAATGCATTTGCTCTTAGTTCCCACAGGGCAGAGAGTTAAAAAAAAAAAAAAACACAAAGGGCTATCACAGCTGCTAGTATATGCTCATCAATGTTTACTTACAAATACTCTACAGTTTAAATAACTTACTTGTTAGATTAAGTTACTTCTGTGAATCATGTGTAGATAGCATAGAGACTAGCTTAAACTTAAAAAAATGAAGTACATGTGAACAGCAGAGATACTACTATAAGATGTGTTGATACTTAATGTTATCATGTAGACTGGACTTACATGCTACTCTCTAAATCAACATTTATTTTTTTATTTTTTAATACTCAATTGAAAATAGTGTTTTTAATAAAAATTAATCATAAAATAGTTTATGTAAATGGTGTTTTTAAATTAATTTTTTTTTAAAATTTGTATATGATTAATTAAATATATATGCTGTATTTGATATAATTTTTATATTAAGCCTATATTAACTGTTTAATAAAATCTTTTGTTTTTAGGGATTATTTGGTTATAGAGAACTTAATGATCCTCTTGGGTTTGAATTAATGAAAGAAAATGCTATTCTAGAAGCTAGAAGTTTGGTAAATGAAGCACTTTCTCCTGATAGGAAACAGAAAATTGTTGAAATATTTGATATGTTGTCTGATACATTATGCAAGGTTGCTGATTTGGTAAGTGAACTATTTCAAATATCTTTGATTCAAAGTCATGATAAGCATGAGATAACCCAACAGTTAATTCTGCACAGGTTGCATGGCATATCATTGATGCTATGGCAAATATTTTGTAAGGTTAAAAAAAATTGTTGTTTGAACTTGATTCTTTGAGTTCCATTCTACACACTTGAAAGTTACTTGGAGAATAAAGATAAAACTCCAATTTTTTATTGTGAGAAGTAAGTAGGGATGAACTGATACTCAATATCAGCTGATAACAAAAAAATTAAAATTAGTTAAGCCATTAGTCTAATGAGAATACATGCTGCTACAGAATAAATATTTCAATTTTTTTATTAGTGTCAATTTTTTGAAAAATAGACAAAACTTAATATTCAAATTTAAGCTATGGCTTATTGTTATCAATTTTATTTTAAATTTTTCTTCTAGCATCTAACTATATAATTTATAATTCAGTCATAAAAGTAGAATTGATATTTTTTATTAAGTAGACTCCAATAGATTATAATTAAAAAATAATACAATATTTATTGTGTTTAAAATTATAGAAGTTTTAAAAAAGCTCGTAAATGTGTTGTCTTGTTAATAATTAATTGAATATGTCATAAAAAGCATCTAATTACTTTCCGAGCTGTTATGTGATGTAACAGAGGAGAAAGTATAACAATCAATCAAAAAATTACCCCCTAAGATTTTTACATTTTTGGACTCTGGACCTAAAAAAAATCCCAACTTTTTTACATTTCTTGACATTTCAAGAAATGTAAAAAAGTTGGGGGTTTTTTCAATATATGTGGATGTTAGTGTGTGTGGGTGAGCACAATTTTTTTCACCTCCTTTGAAACTCAACTCTTGTTCCTTTTGTTGAAAATTTCTGAAATTTTGCGGGTAGGTTTGGATATTAGGGAGAAATTGTTTTTACAAATTTTCAGGAAAATCAGATCATTAGTTTGGAAAATATGGCCCCCTTAATATCTTCCAAACCAATTAGAAGCCTTTAAAGATAATGGCAGCAATTTTTAGAGATGAAAACAAATAATGTTGAGAAAGTCCAGCAACAACATTGCCAACTTGTTTCAATAGTCCGATTTAAAGGTTTGAATAAATGAAAATTCTTTAAAGAAATTTTTGGCGGGGAAATGCTTTGCAGATCAGGAGGAATCAGACAACACCATTCTGGACTACTTCATAATTTGCTTGAAGGCAACTTGACAAGCAATGGTACCGAGAAGGTATGTTCAAACTAGTGTCAGGCTGGGATAAATGTCCCAATATTTACGGTAATTATGTTGCGAAATAAACAAAAGTATGTAGTTTTTGTGGAATATATTAAATATTTTCTTTAATTATAAATGCTAGTGTAATTTTGGCCTGTACCTTTAATATCAGACTCCTCTCATATTAATGACTGTATAGTAGAGAAATGAAAATGCAACCTGTTGGATTTTTTTTTTGTCGGGCTTATATTACCAAACCAATTCAATTTTACCAAATGATTATGATTATGATTAATGATCTATTTTCATAGTTCTAAATCAAATTTCCTGGGTCATTGAAATTTGAAACAAAAATTTCAAAATTATACTTTCTCTTCTAACTTTTATATTTGTTAAGATTTTTCAATAAAATTTAATAGCAAATGTATCACTTCATTATTCTTTCTTAGAAATTTATTGCATGATGTCATTGACTCATTTCAATACAAAATTCAATTATACTAAGTTTCACTGTCCTATTTATACTGAATTTCCCAAACATAATTATAAAGATCTCATACTTGTATAATTAATTCAAATTAATTATACATATTGGATTTTTAATTGTTATACAGTGCGAAAGTAAAGTCCCTCATAGTGGGCCAACCCATGAGACTCAGTCAAGTGGTGACATCATAACTTTAACTCTTTCAACATGCAGTCTGCTGTAGTGTCATTACTTTGTTCCTGGTTTCATTTCCCCACTCTCTTTAGAGGGATCTCAATGCATTTTTCTGTTTTCTGAACTGAATTTTGAAGATATATTTCTTCTTAGTTTTCCATAAAAATCTCTGTGTATCTAGTGTATATATATATATCTACGCATCTAAACAAATATATATATAAACACTTAATTATCATTCTACAACTATTTGCTGTGGAGTTATAGAGAATTACTCTTCCTCCAAAGTGTATCCAAAGATGTTTTGATGTTCATATCATTCAGAGTTGTCACATGTAATTGTTTCTTCCTGATTTTTCTGAGCCTTCAAACAAGTAGAGTACAAATCTTGCTTTGTTTATTTTTATTCTTTCAATTCTGGTAATTTTTCTGTGTATACAAGATGGTTACAATTAAGTTACTGACAGCATTCAGAGCAATGTAGAAAATAATCTACTTAACCATCAATTTTCACTATTATCTTTTATCCTAATAAGAATGTTGGAGAAGAGAATTTAAAAAAAAAATAATAATTATTATTTTCATATCATCAGATGACATTGGTATAGTAAAATAAAGAAAATATTAAGTTGAACAAATAATCTTTATTTTACAAATTTTACAAATCAAGAGTCAAAATGTGCTGGAATCAAATACAGCATGATTCACAGTTGCTTGAAGCATGTCTTAGAGAGTGGTTGTATTTTCTTTGTCTTCAGTCTAGCTAAATGATTGAGCATTACCTTGATAAATTCAGCTTTTCAAATAACTCCATAACCAAAAATTACATGGGATTAGGTTAGGGAAATATGGTGGCTAAGCATTAAAAACCATTCAAGAAATTAACCTGTCCTCACCAAATGTACACAATACACAACAATTGTGTTGTTTTATATGTAATATGGGATGGTGTTTTATCCTGTGTTAAATTTATGCAGGTAGGCAATTTTTTTTCTGCAAGTCAGGATAATTTTGTGGCAGATATATATATAACAAGCTGCATTCACTGATTGACACACTGGACCTTGAGGCACGATTGCTTCAATGTGTTTTGCGTGACTCTCACACACGACCAATTGCAATATTGTGAGAAATTATGTAACATGTTTTGGTACAGCAACACCATCTCGTAGAATAAAAGTTAACTAATTGTTTTTATTTTGAAATTTTTTTTTCCCTGTTAAGGTAACTAACTACCAATTTATTTATTTATTATGGTCTGTCAAGTAGAATCTTCTCTACATCACTGTAAGTGCTGTCAGTTTAACTATAAATACCCTTTACTTGCATTTTTATAAACATATTGTGTTTTACTGTTACAAATCATCTCAATTTTGATGCCATATTTTTCTGATTTGGAATGTAATATGCTGAAAAAGAAAAAGATTGTCCACAAAGTCCCAAGTTGTTCAAGTAGTCTTTTCTCCTGGGGTAAATGCTTCACATTGATTTTTTTCAACATATGAATGTTGGAACATCATGTCTGTGGCATTTTCTGCATTGTATTGTAATTTACTGTAATTCTATTTAAACAATATTAACTATATTATTTACAATTATTTAATCTACAGTAGACCCCCCTATAACGCGTAGGTACGTTCCACGTTATATGAATTTCACATTGTAGGAATCCTTAAATACATGAGCCAATCGCAGCCCGACACGTGTGAAGTTTACGGACTACGGCTGTTTGAAAGGTTTTCTTCCATAAAATTAATNTTGTTCAATATGCAAGACTACAGTGGTACCAGGAAAATCTGTTTCATGAAGACTAATACAAAGTTTAAAAACTTTGTCAAAAAAAACTTGAAAAGTTTGGGAAGAAAATGATGATTATTAGTGTATTGTTAAGGCTTAAGCCAGCGGTTCCCAAAGTGTGCGCTGCGGCTTCTTCATGGGCGCCACGAAATATTATAAAATTTTTATAATTTTACTTAATTTAAAAAATATTGGTTATTTTGCAAATTGTACTTAATTTAAAAATTGATTATTTTGCAAATTGCAATTTGACATAGGGCACCTTGGAAAAATCTGGATTTAGCAAGGGTGCTGAGAATCAAAAAAGTTTGGGAACCACTGGCTTAAGCCATTACATCTCATTACAGTTCACAAAAGGTGAAGGTGAATGCCAAATACTATGTCAATGTTGTTTTGGTACCATTACTGTAGAGAGTATAGACTAAACTTGAAAAACTATCCAGGAGAATGTCCCACAGTTTTTGTTTACCATGACACAATATTATTAAGGTGTGTTTCAAATTTATACGGACACGAAAAAATTAAAGTGAAACACAAATTTGCTGCATTAAGTGACAAATGTTTTATTAAAAATAACATGGATTTACATGTTTCTACACTGCAAAATAAGAATTTTAATCAAACATTAATATTTTGTCACTGAAAATAATATTTTTGAAAATCTTATACAAAAAAACTGTTACATATTTATCCGGACAGGCACTCATTTTATGACTTAAACAGAATATTGTTTAGTTTCAAGCATTGAAATATGCAAATTAGCTTACATATCTAATTGTAATACAAATTCTTTACGTTGTTCAACGTTCTAAAATGGGTAGAACAAAGAATTTATCTGATTATGAAAAAGGGAAGATTGATGCCTATAAATCACAAGGCAAGTCAATAAGAGAAATTGCAGCATATATAAATCGTCCAAAATCAACTGTTGGTGATTATTTATCAAAAAGACGTGGCAAGGATGTACCAAAATTCAAGACAGGTCCAAAACCCAAGCTTACTCCTCGAGATTGTAGACAAATCATCAAGGTTTGCTCCACAAAACAA